ATTTTTGCGGGGGATGGGGGTTCATGGTGGGGCGCATCACAGGACCTGGCCTTGGGGTGGCAGGGAGAGTAAATCCGGCCCTGACTATAGCATGTTATTATTAGGTTTCTGTGCTTCTCTATGCAATGCAGGTAAATCATGGTTCGTGTGAGGGGCCGGCGGGTGCTGCACATAGCTTCCTGAACACATCACAGCACCCTTCCTTGGTACTCCTCTCAAGAGCCCTCAGCCCTGATGTAAGCAATGGGAGGAGTTATACAAATATCAAAATTGATTGATGGATAGATGTCAGTCTGGAGGAGTATACGATGCATGGAGACCACGCTATGTAGCCAACCAGGAAAACTCACCTTCCATCAAACCCATTTATAGTCTTTATGACCATTTATTTATGCATCTCTTTATAATGTCCACTTGTGATGCCGAGCCTCCATGATTTAAAGACCTGAAATTCAATGAATGAAAAGGGCAGGAAAGTGCTAGATAATGCTGGACGTCCTCCAGCCAGGAAATGAGGCGGGCTCTATCTGACTTGCTGCAGCTACTAATGCACATTGTGAGGAGCTCGCAGTGTGCAGTGATATCAGAGGAAGCCATTTCAGTCCAGGAGAGGAGACTAAAGGGAAGGCCGGAGTTCTGCCTTTAACATTGAGCAGGAGGCTGACAACGCTCCAGCGTCTAGTGACACATTATATTACCAGCGCAGGCTCTTGAGTTCATTCACCTTGCTCGGCCTAAACCCTTGAGATAAAGCAATGTTTCAGCAAATACTTTGAAGGACAGAAGATTATCAATGTTACAAATGCTGACTGTGCCAGATCACAGGACACTTGTCAGTCAAGAAAAATTAAAGGGAGATTCCATGTTCTAAATGGGGAGTTATAGTGCTGCCATTAGGGAGTATTCAGCAGTGGAATTCAGCAGTGGAAATTTTGGGGCCTTCCATTTAAAGGGAACATGTCACGAAAATGAATACGGTTTATTTATCTGTGTCCACTCCCCATAACATACAGCCTTGACTCAGCTCAGATAGTTAAAACACCAGGATAAGGATCCTTATTATTAGCCAAGTGAATAGCTTTTCTTAGTAGAAGTGCACCGAAATTGAATTTTCAGACTGAAACCGAAAACCAAAAGTTTTTCCAGGACGAAGCCGAGAATTATTTTGTAAAATATTTTATTTTTATTATTTTTATATATATATAAACATTTTTGTAACTTTAATGTTGGGGGCTCTGGGGAAATATTGGGGGTCTAAACAGACCCCTGATATTTCCCTTCTGAAATAGAAAAAGAGATTGAGAACACAGAGTCTACAATCTCTTTTCTGCAGCCCCTGTTATGAATGAACAGGAATCCTCTATACTGAGTGCTCCTGTCTATTCATAAACTGTGGAGATGGTATGGTTACTATATCCGCAATCATGAATGAACAGGAGGTGATGTAGAGCACTTCCTATTTATTCATAATTGGGGCTATAGTAACCATGCCCCCGCCCCGCTCGGCATCCTGATAGTTTCTCTTTTCCCCACTGGGTGCTGGTTTGTGTCAGAGGGGACACAGAGCAGCACCCAACGGGGAGGAGAGAAACTAGAGATGCACCTGTCGGGATCCCCCTTAAACACTCTGTTTTATAGATCTCAGCTGCGGAAATGTGTAAGAATGCTTGCGTCACTATACCTGGTAGGGACGGCTAGTCAGGCTTTAACCCCTGGCGTTACACTCAATCTTTACGGAGTGTTAGGGGTTATAGCATCATTTGCCGTGATACGAGTTTAGATGGCTTGAGCGTCAAGGGTCTATTACTTCATAGACCCTCACCAGATTGTACACAGTGTACTTTATAGCATCTATGTAAACAGCCCAGGTAGTGAAGATGTTAATTGGCAGTTCTGGAATTATTAGTTGTAATCATACAGTCCATTTAGTCAGATATATTCACATATGATGGCATCAGCCAATGAGCAGATATATAAGAGGCTGCTGAATCCCCTTGAGGGGGTACTTGCGGTTTTGAGGGTCCGGACTGGACAGGAGGGGTTCCGGTTGAGTGTGAGGTTCCAGAGCGTCCGGGTTGGTAAGGTCGTCCAGCAGGGTTCCCAGGAGATAGAGGTGTCGGGGGCTGCAGGGCGCTGTGTCCATAATCGTGGAACACCGTGTCAGCCACCCGACGAGTTTAAATAGCCCGCCAGCTTCAGAAGTGGCCGGAACTGAACGCCAAGCGACATCCGCGTTCCACGCTGGAACGCATGAGTCACTCCTTTTGGGGCAGAGCCGTAGTTCTGCTCGCACCGGCGCCTCGTTCCAGCGTGGGACGCAATCGGCGTCCACGGGAGCCGCGAAGGATCTTACAGCACCACATTTTAGAAAAAACAGAAATGGAACTTTCGGCATTTTGCCCAAAGTACAATTTTTAGCCAAAATGTTTCAGTGGCCAAAATGTCAGTGCATCCCTAATTCTGAGTCCAATGAGATTTGAAAATTGCAGTCACATGGTTGAAACAAAGATCCTTATCCGTGTGTTAAAGCTTTGTGAATGGAACCTTATTTGTTTTTATATTTTATAGAAATGTTCTCTGCCAGAATCACTGTTCAGGAAATGACAGTGATCGGACTTATTGGCGTAACAGTCCTCTATCATTTGGAGAAAATAGACGTACAAGCATACAAGAGTGTCTATGGCGACCATATTCTGTTGGGGGAATAGAAAGAATTTACCTGCCAAAAATTGGACCTCCCACCAGCTGAAGGATTCCGAAAAATGTCTGTAGGTAGCCAAAACCTACAGTGTCCAAGCCCAGGTTCTTCGCCAGATACTGAAATATGAGTCATCAAAGAGAGATGGTTAGTTGGAAGGAAAGCATGGATGCCGGACAGAGAATGATGGGAGGAAATTGTAGCAGCTATATCTTTGGCTCTACTGATTGTTTTGTCATATTTGTTAAATCTGACCCCTACTTACGGGTTTATCGTTGTATCCATATGCCCAAATTGAATTGTTTACACCTATAAGAAGTTATCTTCTGGGCCCATTTTTGCCTTTGCATTGTGTTGATGTGGTTTATGTTTTGCATTATGTAATGGTAGCTCATTGAAATGAATGGGCGGCCAATACACACTAATATATACCTGACCCTATGTTCTAATGCAATGCATTGCCATGCATTGTAGTGTGCAACAAGGTAGGTATGTTCCCTTAGTGAATTGGGGTGCCATTAAAAACTAAGGGCAGCACCATTCAGCAATGTCTGTTAAATGCGTTATCCAGCATTGTGGTCATGTTCGCATTACCAAGATGCAGAGGTATAAATGGGCCTTTAAAGTGATACTAACCTCAGGTGCGTTCAAGTCCCCCAACTATTAACAACAATGTATCTCATTTGTGTATCACTCGGCTGTAGATCCTCCAATCATCTCTGAATTGGTGCTGACACTGTCCTTCCTTCTGGAGGGGGGCTACTTTTGTTCCACATGGTCCCTGTGTGTGTTGTAAAGTAGTCACCGCTCCAAGCTCACTCCCGGGATGGACTACAATCTCATGTTTAGTTTACTAAATTGTATTGAGATTGTAGTCCATCCTGGGAGGGAGCTTGGAGCGGTGACTACTTTACAACACACACAGGGACCATGTGGAACAAAAGTAGCCCCCCTCCAGAAGGAAGGACAGTGTCAGCACCAATTCAGAGATGATTGGAGGATCCACAGCCGAGTGATACACAAATAAGATACATTGTTGTTAATAGTTGACGTACTTCAATGTACTTTTAAGATTTAACTCCTGAGTTTAGTGTCACTTTAATTTTTATTCACTGGAGATTAGGGATGCACCGATACTGGTTTTTCGCTATCGAGTACGAGTTCCAGTATTTGTATTTTGGTACTCGCCGATACTGGGTACTGATACCGGCACTTCTGGTATCATGGTGCCGGCTTCCTGGGCAATCAGGAAGCCGGGCAACGTGTCATTATCTGCTGCCAGGTTTCTTAATTGCCCAGGAAGCCGCCTTCCCGCTGTTTGGGTGGCTTCATTCTGATTGGCTGGGATGCCGGCTTCCCGGCCAATCAGCATAGCTTCCTGATTGCTGCGGGAAAGCCGGCTCCATGTTCCCTCGCAGCACTGCCGGTCAGTGGAAATCTCCTCCTGACCAGAAGTGAAGTTCTGGTATGGGGGGGGTGTAAGAATCACAGCATTTGGGCGAGTACTCGGCCAAATACTCAGTATCAGCACCAATACGCATACTAGTATCGGTATCGGTGCATCCCTACTGGATGCACCTATAAAATGCCTTCACATTTCAGTATAATAAAAATGTAAGAATTTTATATTTAACCCCCATTCACACTAAAGCTTAAAGGTGAACTATTTTTCCCCATAGTTCTCATAAGGGTAGCGGGAGGACACAAACTAGCGTCCTCCCGTGACCCAAAGCTCCATTAGTTCTGATGAAGGGGGCGTGCCCCAGAAACGCGTAAACCATTTATCAATACAGGGATCGAGGTTACTGGTGTTTTACATCGCTCCAGATTCTCCCTGCCAGGGGTTCCGTCCTCTCACCTTATTCTACTGGTTTTTATTCTACCAAACTGTTGTAAGTACAGCCTTAGAGCTGCGTGTTTTTACTATAAAATAACATTTTTACACTATGGAGGCGCTCTCTTTTCTTCCTTTTCTCAAAGCTCAGTATACCGCGAGCTGTAACTATACTGAGACCGCCGCAGCCGGCACAGATCCCGACATTAGCGACATTACTGTCTGGATCCACCCAGCTGCGTGAGTGACAGCTGGCTCTGACTATCTACAGGCAGACCCAGCTGTACCCGCCCCCTCCCCCGTCCGTTCCACCAGTCAGCGCTGGAGGATCGGACAGGGGAGGGGGAATCCCTGCAGGGAGCCGTGAGTGACAGTCACGGCTCTCTGCAGGGACAGGATCGAGAAGGGAGCGAGCGACGCAATGTATTTGCTCACTTCCCGATCTATTGAGCCGACCTGTGACAGTCTCATTGTCACAGGTCGGCTAGAACTATGAGGTTGAGTGATTTTCACTCACCTCATAGTTCTCCCTTAATCATTTTCAGGCAAATTTGAAGCTTATTTGTGCATTCTGGCTCATTTTCCCATGCGTTTTTCAGGTGTTTTCAGGCTTGAGTGTTTTTCTTTTAGCCAATGGAAAACTAATTGGTAGAAGAAGGAGACAGGCACAAAATTGCACGAAAAACATATTACACATGTTTCTCAGGCGTTCCTATTGAAGTCTATGGAGCCAAAATCATGTAATTCTGACATGTACTTTATTGAGCCGCAAGCAACAGGTGAGACAACGCTCAGGTGTGAACAAGCACCACTGAAAATCCATCACCTTCATTGTTAGCACAGTGGTGTAGTGGTTAGCACTTCTACCTAGCAGCACTGGGGGGGTCCCTGGTTCAAATTCAGGCCAGGACACTATCTGCAAAGAGTTTGCACATTCTCTGTGTGCTTGCATGGGTTTCCTCCCACACTCCAAGGACATGCTGGAAGGTAAATTGGCTGAGGGATAGCTTGTAAGCACCTTGAGGGCAGGGGCTGACGTGTAAATTGTTGGTACTATTTATAAATGTTGTTGTGCTTCGAGAAAGGCTTAGGGCTTGTTCACACCAAATGCAGACCAGATCTGCATGAGTTTCTGCACACGCAGTGCAGTGGGTTGTGCTGCGTTTTTGGTAAAATAATAAAATGGGCTTTTAGTGCTTTCGCATGCGTTTTTGATGCGTTTGCTTGCATTTCAGAGCTTTACAGAGCAGGTAAAATAGGGCTTGCTGCAGTTTTTTTACAGGCTCTGGAACTGAATGCTGCGGTGTGAACTGGAGCCCAAAATACCATTGGAATACATTGGACGCAGTTTTGGTCCGGTCTGTAACTGCTCTGCTCCTGGAACGTGCTTGGTGTGAACAAGGCCTCAGGTGTGAATAGGGGCTCATAGGTGTGAATGGGGGCATTGTGTGCAATCTCTTCATTACCGAAATGTTCCTGGAAAGAATTTCACTTGGCAACAAAGTAACAACAAAGTACTCTCACACAATCTATAGAAGGAAGCTGTGAGTCATCTCGCTGACCTTGCTGTTATCTAAACTGAATTTCATGATTATCTCTTCTACTCACCGGGGTGACTGCAAATTGCATGAACAGACAGGAGATGTCCAGGGCTGCCAGCAGGTAGGTGACCCTGATGACATGCTGCTTGGATCCGGAGAGCCCGGGATCTGAAGCCATTGCAGCCCTCTTCATGCTCTGAACACTGCTAGAGTATAAAAGGAATGAAGAGGATTTTCACTTTTCCTTCTCTCAGTTCCTGTGTGTGTAGTGCAAAGTTCAGACAGAGTCCCTCCCTCTACAACATCAATGCCAGCACTGCTCCACTGCACAGTACATGTAATGAGAACATGAATTCCATGAATGCTCTGTTATTTTACATGCACATATGTAAATGCCAGCAAAAGTGGCAGTGCCAGGGTTTGGGACAGCTAGCACTGTCAGTGGTGTTTGCTGTGTGTGTTGTAAAGTAGTCACCGCTCCAAGCTCACTCCTGGGATGGACTACAATCTCAATACATATTAGTAAGCTAAACATAAGATTGTAGTCCATCCCGGGAGCGAGTTTGGAGCAGTGACTACTTTTCAACACACACAGCAACCATGGAGAACAAAAATAGCCCCCCTCCAGAAGGAAGTACAGCGTCAGCACTAATTCAGAGATGATTGGAGGATCTACAGCCGAATGATACACAAATAAGATACATTTTTGTTATTAGTTAAGATACCTCAATGCATTTTTAAGATTTAACCCCTGAGTTTAGTGTCACATTAAAAGAAGCATATCCAAACCCCAAAAGTGAAAAGATAGAACTGAAAACATTTTCAGCCTAAAAAGAAAGCTAACGTGGCCACCATATCTAAGGAATAATAAGCTGAAATATATTAAAGGAGAACTATGAGGTGAGTGCTTTTCACTCACCTCATAGTTCTAGCCGATCTGTGACAATGAGACTGTCACAGGTCGGCTTAGTAGATCGGGAGGTGAGCGAGCACATACCAGCGTTTGCTCACCTCTCGATCCTGTCACAGCTCTCTGCCATGACAGGGGAGGGGCTGGATTCCCCCCTCCCCGCTCCGATCCGCCAGCGCTGACTGGCAGATCGGACGGGTGAGGGGGCGGGTACAGCTGGCTCTGCCTCTAGATAGGCAGAGCCAGCTGTCACTCACGCAGCTGGGCGGATCCAGACATAATTGTCGGGATCCGCTTCAGCTTCAGATGCAGCGTCTCAGTATACCGCGAGCTGTAGCTCGCTGTATACTGAGCTTAGGGTGACGGGAGGACGCTAGTTTGTGTCCTCCCGTTACCCTAAGGAGAACTATGGGGAAAAGCCTTAACCCCATAGTTCTCCTTTAAGTTCTTGTTCTTGGGTTTAGATATCCTTTAATCCGTTCATGATCAGGCTTCATTGGTGCCCCAATGTCCAGACTGAATTCAGCAGCATCAGCTGACATAACAATAACTCTAATTTGCTAAGTAATTGTTGTTCATTTTTAAGGACATATAAGACTTTTATTTGGCACACTGTTCTAATTATTATCCTGTTTAGATGTATTATTAAATGCTGACAAATGGGGAAGGAAAAAAAATGAAATGTTTAATTACATACATACGGTATATATTAGACATGTACGTTTTGTTTCTTTCTGAATTGATATTCTGACTAATTTCTTTAAACTCAGACATTTGGATGCATCCAAGCTTTCAAATTTTAAAATGCATCCAAATTTCTGAATTCAAATGAATCCAAATTATTTTTCCAAATTTCCAGTTCTTATGACCAGTACGGACTAAAATGACCAGTACAGACTGAGAGGACCGGTACGGACTAAGAGGACCAGCATGGAATAAGATGACAACAATAGACTAATATGACCAGTACGGACTAAGAGTACAGTACGGACTAAGAGTACAGTACTGACTAAGATGACCAGTACAGAAAGACGAGTGTGGACTAAAATGACCAGTACAAACTAAGATGACCAGTACAAACTAAGATGACCAGTACAAACTAAGATGACCAGTACAGACTAAGATGGCCAAATTATACAAATTCCAAATAATGTTCCATATTGAATTTTGGATCTGAAATGCCCCCAAAAATTGAATTGTCCTGAAACAAAACACATTTGTTTGAGCCTTTACATGTCTAATATATATATACAGTATACACTGAGTGGCCAGTTTATTATGACCACCTGACGTTTGTAGGCAAATTAGCTATAATTAGCCATAATTTGGCGCTGAAGTTGCTAGAGGGCCAGACCATTATAAATAGGGAAGCAGGTTGGTTACCACGACAGTAGAAGTGATTTCTGAAGATACGGGGAAACAACGCGATTTAACAGCCTTTGAACGTGGGATGATTGTTGGCGCTCGGAGCCATGGAGCGAGTATCAGCAAAACAGCAGAATTCGTTAAATGTTCAAGAGCAGCTGTTGTTAAAGTGTTTAAAGACTGGACTGTCAGACGAAAATCTGGGTCTGAACGTGCAAATTGTGGCCGTCAGCGACTAGTCAATGTTAGGGCAGAACGGAGAGTGTCAAGACTGGTACAAGACAACAGAAGGGCAACAGTGCCGGGTGAGATTCCTCGCATCACCTTTCAACATCTCGTGGAGTCACGAGGCGGCCCAACGAAGTACTGATGGGGGGGGTCATAATAATCTGACCACTCAGTGTATATGTATATATAGTATTGTATGTATATATTGGTTTAATTATTTTCTTTTAAACACTCTACTTTCCTCCCCTTCAATATATACAAATATACAATTATATACAGTATATGTCTTGGTGACACCTGCAACCTTCAATGTCGCTGAGAGTTTTTTTATGAACCATGTTGATCTCATGATTGAAAACCATGCTGATTGGTTCCTGATCATTAAGCCAGCCATACACTTTTATATAAATATCACAGATTCCTCCATCAACACTTACCAGTATGAATGGAATCCCCCATTGTTTTCATTGTATTCTGACAGTGGATGCAGGCCACTGTCAGAATACCCGTACGGAGCAAGCACCATTCAGCCAAAGACTTTCCATTCGGTTCCGTCGATCTGATGGCGAATGTCAGACGTAAGGATGCTGACAGGGGCACCCAGCGTGTGAATTTCAGCGGTTCATGATGATGAATTTGCATAGTGTATGGCCAGCTTTAGTGAAGCTTTAGTGAAGACCTGGAGCTGTCAGGGACAGGGACACCTAGGAGCATGCAGAGCTGTGCAATACTGTCTGTGAAAAGTAACGTATGGTATTAATTGTGCTAAGAGATTTTAATCTACAGATTGTGGGTAGGAAGGGGTTAACTCATCAGCACAAAAGTAACCATTGCTACCATATGAGGATAGCAGTATAGTCCATGAATGGGCTATAATATAGGGATGACATGATGCCATAACTCTAATGCCATGCTCCACGTCAATCATTTTAATAGGAAATCTCTAATGGCTGACCCACCTTCCATACCTCCCATCAGCAAAATCTTGCCCAGGGCCCACTTAATATTAAAGACGGCCCTGTTTAAAATATATGTTTGTTGTTTAGTTCCCTTTAAGGGCTTGTTCACACCAATTGCAGTGCATTCCAGAGCGGAAGTTGCTGGAATGCACCGCAATTGCCCACAAAACCTCCCCCTGCGTTCTGGGGTGGGAGGGGGCATGGCGGTGCATTGATGCACCAATGCTGCTTGCTCTATTTTTGGCGTTTGCAGTGGAACGCAACGCAAGCAACGCGAGCAGGGGGGCGTGGCTGTGGTGCCATTGACTTCAAAGCCCCGCCATGTCTCCTCCCGCCCCCAGAACGCAGGGGGAAGTTTTGTGAGCAATTGCGGCGCGTTCCAGCAGCTACCGCTCTGGAATGCACTGCAATTGGTGTGAACACGCCCTTAAAGGGAACTAAACAGTAAGGCCAACAGCTAACACAAGAACACATTATGGTGTTAGTTTGAAAATAATTTTTTTTTAAATTTTGAAACAAAATATCCACTGAATAAATAATTCCATTTTGTTTCCAGAGCAAAATCCTATCGAGTCATACAGTCTATGTGGTTCGGTGAGTGTATTTCTATGTTTCAGCCACTAGAGGTCTCTGCAGTCCAGGAATTCTGTGCTCATTGCATTGAGGATTTACTATAGCAGGGCTTAGCACTAGAGTGTAAAGAGGATCTATTTAAATGCCATGACTGCATCCCATCCCAGACCCCTATTTATTCATATCTATGTACACTAAATAGTATAAGTATCATAATACCAGATGCAAAAAAATGGAACCTATAGTCAAGTTTTCATGCATAAAAATATGTAACATTTACAATATTAGACAGCATAACCATATACAGATTATGCTGTGAGGGGACTAATAAAATAAAAAAGTTATCCAACCAAAATAATACTTATTGATTCCTTTAGTCCCTTCTCACCATAACCTGTATGGGTACACTGTCCTGTGGGGTCCCAACTCTACTCCATTTGAATAAGAACTCCAGGTACAAATTGTCTTAACCCTTGCAGTGGGGCTGCCCCTGCACTGCAAAGTTTAAATGTACATTTTTGCCTAGTCAAAAATAGAGAAGTTATACTCAACCGATCCTTCAAGCTGGCCAGCTGACAGAGCGCTCCCTCCTGCCTGTCTTCTCAGGGGAGTGCGTTCACCCTAAAACAAGTGCGTTACTGGCAGGATCGCCAGGTGAAAATAAAGGAAAAAGCCAAAAGCAATCCTTAAGCAAAGACCAATTAAGACCTTTCATATAAGTTACCAGTGACATCAGCTATCTGTAGGAGGGGCGTTCTAACTTCCCACTGACCTCCAATGTAAGCAGTATTCTTCCCACTGACCTCCAATGTAAGGAACATTCTTCTCATTGACCTCCAATGTAAGGGGCATTCTTCCCACTGACCTCCAATGTGTGGATTATTGTTCCCACTGACCTCCAATGTAAGGGGCATTCTTCCCACTGACCTCCAATGTGTGGATTATTGTTCCCACTGACCTCCAATGTGTGGATTATTGTTCCCACTGACCTCCAATGTAAGGGACATTCTTCCCACTGACCTCCAATGTGTGGATTATTGTTCCCACTGACCTCCAATGTAAGGAGCATTCTTCCCATTGACCACTAATCTAAGGTACATTCTTTCCACTGACCACCAATGTAAGGAGCATTCTTCTCATTCACCACCAATGTAAGGAACA